TAAGGATCTACAACCTGGTGAGCTTGCAAGTATTACTCGATTTGACTTGGATGATTCATTCTGGTGGGTTTGGATTAGTAGTTTGGCTGGCGAAGAAACGGTGGACCGAAAGGCTTCATTTGGACGATGCGCTTTGATTGAGACAACAATCAAAGGTGGTCGTTGGTTGGTAATGGAGGAAATGGTCAAAGGCGCAGCACCGGAGCCTGAAGCGGGTGCTTATATCGCGGAGAAAAAGAGCTTTTGGGGACGTACCAAGAAGAATAAGAATAGCGGAAAGCGACGAGGATCTACAGGCAAAACTGAGATGGAGAAACCCGGTAACTTGAAGCCAGGATACAGTCAAAGTACTAGCGCAAGTAAGACCACCATTGGGCTTGACCAACATGCTCGAATTCAAGCAGCAGCAATTCAATTACAACAGAGACAAAAAAAGCAGGAGGAAGAGAAAGGATTAGCAGCGCGACGTGGAAGAAACGATTTTGAGGCATCTTCTCTGAAAACCAACAGTGTGTTAACACTTCAACCAATGCTCAAATCGGAAGCTTCTCCGGCAATGAAGTGGGCCAATAAATACGACAAGGATGCTGTTCGAGAAGCATATTTGGGCAGCAACTTTATGGGACGAGGTCTTGGAGAAGGTACTATGCAGTCAAATGGAAATTCATATGACCGTCAAGCAGCTCTATCGCCCGGTCTTAACAGTAACAGAGATCTACCCCTCACTCCAACTACTCCAACCGGACGTCATTCGCCTTTACCGCCTCTACCAACTGGCGAAGATCAAGCTAAAGAGCCACGGGTTCCAATTTCACCAAGTAATATTCATCCACTTGAAAGAAAACCTGTTCCACTATCTCCTTTGAATCAAAATAAGCCAAGTATGGATGTTCCAAGAGCTTCTATGGATCATGCACCCTCGAGTCCGGAAACTCTGGACACGCCTAATAAATTGAAGAAGAATAATCCAGCTGCTCCTGGTGGATTTAGAGGTATGTTTGGTAGAAAGAAGCAAGCGAAGCCTGCTCCACCAAATGCTTCTCAAATGGCAATGAATGGCAAAGATGGACTCAAGCCAGAAGGAAAGAAGCATAGTCTGACCAGACGATTTTCGAGAAAGAAGAATTCACTCAAGTCACCTACTAGTGAGAAGGGAAATGGATCGGTTTCACCAGCTCCTCCAGTTGCATCTGATGAACATACTCCTGTCACTCCAGTAACTCCAATGACTCCAGAAACTCCTCGCCGTCCTTCATACGAACATTCGATTGCAGATGATCTTTCTAGAGTTGATACTGTCGATGCCAGGGAAGCTCGTCAAGAATTCTCTAAATTTGATCAAGGTCCTCTCGAAGATTTCCCAGCATTTGTCCCAACAGCTGAATCTGATACGCCAAGAGTAAGTGAAGATTCTGGATCGCCATCAAACAATGCACGAAGTCAATATGAGGAAGCCAACGAGGAACCTCAAGAAGAGCCACTTACACAACAAATTTCCCCTCAAGACAAATGGGCACAAATCCGCAAGAACGTTGCCGAACAAAAAGCGAGAAATAGAGAACTCGAAGAACAATCTAGAATTGGACATCGTCCATCTACTGATAATGATGATGAGACTTCAGGTGAAGAGAGTGAGTATTCCCCTCCTTCTAAAGCTTCTTCATGGGGTGATATACTAATGGATCCAGCAATTGAATCTCGTGTTGCACGTATTAAAGCTCGTGTAGCTGAACTTACGGGCAATATGGAAACCAACAACTCGTCTGCTCCTCCACCTATTCGAAGAAAAGCTCTATAGATTCTTTACATCTATGTCGATACCAAGTCGATACCGATACCGAAACCGAAATCTGCTCTTGTCATAATTCACCTACGATCAAAATATTACTCGTAAATTGACGCCTCGCACTCTCAATTGTCCTGGCTTCTATTTACATATGTTAAGAGAACTCCTACACATTCATATTCTATTGTCCGATAATTTACACACACACACACACACACACACAGACGCAACTAAACTCTTTTTTCTCGATATTCCATTCAGATCTGATCTTGATTATTGCGGCGCATATATTTTGATCCGATCGATTTTGTTCGATGTCTCGGACCTTTCATTTTTGTTGTTTATTCGCGGATTCTTTCTTCTACACTTTTTTTTTTGAGATACCATTCATGATTTCTATTCTGCATTTGCGCATTTTTGCGAGTTGTTAAGTGAGGGGATAGGATAAAGGGGGGGTAAAAGACCCGGAGATAGAAGCAAGGCGGAAAAGGGAAGGGGAAAGATTGCTTGTGATCTGGATCTGGATCTAGATTTGCAAAGGTGTGTGGGGGAACTGGCAGGTGTGGATATGATTTGATTATATTTTGATTGTCGGGTTTTGAGGAAGTGGATAATGGGAAGATAGATAGATAAAGGAGGGCTTGTGGGGCGGGAGATTAAAATAAGAGAAGAGGAGTGAAGAGAAAATGGGAGGGGATGATGTTTAGATACCAGTAATTGAGAATGAGATTTGAGATGCAGTTGAATTTGCAGATAGTGTTTGAGAGTGTTTAAGAGTGTTTGAGTAGGAAATGAGAATGAGAATGAGATTGAGATTGAGATTGAGATTGAAGATTGAGAATGTATATTTGAGTGAGTTGAGATAAGATGAGAATTGATATGTCTGATTGCTTTTTTTTTCTTGATATGGATGTATGTGTGAGGTTCAAGTGAATAAGAGTGAATTAAGGCGAATATTAGTGGAATGGAAAGTTTATCAAGCGAAAATGAATTCGGATTTGGATACGAAATGAAACTTTTTTCGGGGGGGGTGGGGGAGGGGGGGCTATCTCGGACTTCTTTGTGGCAAGTTCTGTGCTTGGTGGATTGAGATGGGGGAAAGTGAAAAGGTGATGAGAGGAGGGGAAGGGAGGGAAACTGGTTAACTTTCACAGGCGAGTTTGTACATCTAGAAGCTAGATAGATAGAGACTTGAGTTTTGGGTTGGAGTGGGAGTGAATGTGTGGGGAGGGAGGTGGGTGGGTAGATAGATGAATAAGTAGATAGATAAATAGGTGGGTAGATAGGTAGGTAGATAGGTAGAGTTATTTGAAATGAAAGGATATAGATAAGTAGGTGAAAGATGTTGGAAATAGAATGTTAAGATTGTGCCTCTTCCGGCGTATGAGGAGAGATCTTTTGAAAAGCAGTAGAATGGTTACTTGTGAACTCAAAGGGCTCTTGTGCGTGAAGCTGGAAGTTTGTAAATTGAGAGGGGATCTTTTGGGTGGTCTGGGTACGGGTACAGGTACGGGTACAGGTAGCTATGGTGTGCACTGTGTGGTGGTGGCCTCGCGTGGTTTGCATGGGAGGATAAATGCTGCGTGGTGAGGAGATGGCTTGTGGTGGTGAAGATAGTATGCAGTGGGGTAGTGTATCTGCTGTTGTGAATCGGGAATGGTGGTATCTTTCCGCGAGGGAAGAATATCTGGAATGAGATAGGTGCGTTGAGTTTTGGATGCAATGTTGAAGATTGATAGTCTGATCTTCTTTCTCTTTCTCTTTCTCTTTCTCTTGCTCTTTGACATATCTTCTACTAGAATTCGAGTGTGTCTAGTTTCTGCATCTGATCCAGTGCTCGTAGTGGGTGGATTTCGTACTTTTGTTTCAAACCCCCAGTTGACCTGGCTTATGATTTATACAACCCAGCCTTATCACCCTTTCACACCCACTGCGAGCACTGATCTGATCTGACATAATCCTGTCACAAAGAAATAGATTTGAGGAGGGAAAACAAGCAATTATGCTGATCGAACAGGTACAGCAAGAGCATAAGAAAGGGAAGGAACGCACTTGCATTCAGACAGGGTAGCAATGGCAATCTAGAAAACTCGCTAATCTTAACAACAACATTAACGACATATTTTTAAATCGACGAAAAAGATGAATATTATACCAACTCGGTGATCATGAAATGCCTTGCCGATTCGATGAGTCTTCTAAGTGTCTTTCGAGATAGACTTGGATAAATTGGGGTATGTATAATGTGCCATGTAAGAGTGCCTATGGAGAGCAGAAAGCAACTTTCGAAGATGGGAGAAAGCCGATATAGTGTGTTGTTTACTTGCGTATTGGCAAAGTCGATGATTCCGAATGCTGTTGAGAGTCGCATTGTCATTGATATACCGGTCGTGGTGTGGTAACCTTCGCATTCCGATTGACCAGTGTCTGGCCTTGGAGAGATGTTAGGAATATAGGAAGAGGACGAGAAATAAGCGGAAATGGCTGCCACTTCTCGGAGAGTTTTGATTGGTCATCAAAGATCTCATCCAATCAAAAGAGAAAATCGACAAGATACCAATGGTGTGTGAACACGACATTAAACAGTCTATTAGTTACACACTGTAGTGCACAGCCTCGGAGTACGTATACCATGCACATAAGAAGGCTTTATGTCTCGTCGCATGAAGAACAGACTGCATTCAACATTTAGATAAATCCCGAATACTTTGCATATCATTTTGAGCATTGTTGATATGTCTATATCGTCGATTTCTGGATCACTACAGTCACATCTCCCACCTTGTAAAAAGAAACTTTTCGTCGTCTTCTCCAACTTGTCCAAAATGTCAGGAGCTTCTGGTTTTATTCTACTTTAAACCTGCTCATTTAACTTGTTCCCAAAGTATCAAGCTACCGACCTCTCCTTTTGTTGAGAATTGCTTTCTATGTTTGCAGTTTTTGGGTACATACCTGGTGGAACTTGCGGATCAAGCCAAGTATATTGAAGCTTGGAGACTCAACTCTCAACATGTTTTGGAGGTTGGATATCACCCCATGCCATTTCCTCAAAGCTTTGGTCCGCATACCTATTTTAGCATATATTCCTCTGACTACCATCCTACTGGAGAGGAAAGAGGAAACAGGAGCAACAATATGAGTCCATGGCTGTAAAGACTCGGGGTATATTCGCAAAAACGTGGGTGACAAACAGATGACTATGGAACATTTATAAATGCTGAAAATACCCTTCTCAGAGCTCGCTGGCTCAGAGAGTTTTGTCTCAGTAGCTTCTTCCACAGGATCTGATAAGAGTCTGAATCTTTCCATACAATGGTTACAGAACTGCAATGAAAGCCATGTTTCCTGCTCACGCAAAGCTACCACGTCCCCACCTTTCCTTCCTACTCGTCTCATTGATATCGGAATAGAAGAATCAGCGATTACTCCACGGCTTTGTTTGAGGAGAGAAATTCCGTTAAATTCAGTCTACTTCACTTTAAGTCATTGTTGGGGGAAAACTGCGCCAAAAACCACGCTTCTTCGGTCAAACATCGAGTTTATGCTTCGCGAGATAAACTTTTCACAACTTCCAAACACCTTCCAGGAAGCATTATTAGTTGTCCGGAAGTTAGGAGGTCGATTTATCTGGATTGATTCGTTATGTATTATTCAAGATTCCGAGACGGATTGGTTAGTAGAATCCGTTAGTATGTGTGACGTCTATTCGAATAGTTACTGCAATATCTGTGCCACAGCTGCGAGAGATGGTAGTGAAAGGATGTTCCGTGATAGAGAGCCATTGCAGATACAGCAAGGTTGGTTTCAAACAGCTCGCGATGAGGATAATCACTGTATCATCGACGACTGCGCATGGAAAAGAGAGGTGGAAGATGGAATATTATCCTCAAGGGCTTGGGTCTGCCAAGAACGCCTACTGTCTAGACGAAATCTTCACTTTGGATCTAGACAATTATTTTGGGAATGTCTACATCATGAGGCTTCCGAAACATTTCCCAAAGGTGTTCCACAACTAGTGGCTAAAGGCCGCAGTGTGAAATCCCGGGTCAAAGTACTTGTTCATGGCATCGACAAATGTCGATCAGGCATATCTTTCGAAAGTGGACAAATCTGGGAGAAAATTGTTGGATTGTACATGAAAAGCAATCTAACTTTCAAAACGGACAGGCTTGCTGCAATCGGAGGAATGGCAAACGCAGCGGCTCAACACATAGGGGGGGGTACTTAGCGGGAGTATGGGAAGAACACCTGTTATCTGGTATTCTTCGGAATGCTCGAAATTACCCGGCCGATCTTTCCACATTTACTCAAGCTCCCCTGGAGGAGCAAGAATTTATCGCCCCCAGCTGGTCTTGGGCCTCTTTCGATGGAGAAATAGACTTTCCTCCAAGGATCTGCAGAAGTAGAGACATTGAGCAATTTCCTCAGATCTTGGAAACGCATCTAGATCTAGCAATTGATAACCCATTTGGGAAAGTATGCGGTGGATATATCAAACTCAAGGGAGATATCACTTCCGCTACTTATTATCTCGTAAGATTGACCGGCTGGCGGTATTGTAACAATCCTGAGATTCGCTTCGGACAAGATGGCAATGAACGGGAAGGGCTTGGCACAACACTCATTTTTAGTGACTTTCAAGATATGACAGAAATTGAGCGACAGGAAATATGTTTTCTTCCTGTCTGTAGATTCTTCCTCGGAGATTGTGGTTGGGAGGTTAGAGGTCTCATACTGTTCCCCACAAATAGAGCGAGATGGGAGTTTCAAAGGTGTGGTATGTCTATTTATGCTACTGGTAAGGACCACGAGGCTCTGATGTCTGAATGTAGATCTTTCAGCCGCGAGCAGAAAATTGAATCGTCCGAATTTGGTCTACAAGATGACGGAAAATTCATTATCAAGATCTTTTGATAACTGGTGTTATGTTGACATATATTTTCAAATTTTCTACTTAACTTACGATTTCGTGACTTCAGAAATTATTTATCACTCGCTATCTTTCTTTGTCAGTTCCGACTTTTATAGAACGAAAGTTTGAGTCTCTCTGATAATCGTCTGGGTTTCTAAACTATATTCCTGGGATCTCAACCAGTCACCTTTTATGTGTACTCGCTTGTTTATATATAACCGAGGATCTAGGTTTTGATCTTGGTGGATTAGATTCGATTCTTGCGGTTAGCGGAAAGTTGGTGATGGGATAGGTACTTGAAATTGTTTGATGATTGATGATGGAGCTTGAACTTGAGCTTGGAGTTGGAGGTTGAAAGGGTTGTTTGCACTTTGTATTTGATATGTGGGTTTGGGGTGGAGATTATGATAATGTGGACAAACGGCGAGTTGTGGACCCCGCTAATTTTGTTATGGAAATGAAAGATCAAATTTGATGTCAGTCTGAGGGGTCGGTAGGAGACGAATAGAAAAATTATAGCGGCTGGAAAGGGGGATATTGAGCATGATGTTCGCTTCCGGCGATGAATAATCAATCGATTTGAATGATCGACGACAGTCATGATGTTCTGATCCGAAACATTCTCCTCCATGCATGTTTTTGACGGTGGTTATTGGAATCAAATCACAAGCAGTCATTAACGTCGATGTCCTGCGGTCATATATTCATACTGTACATGGAAGAAAGATGATGTACGAGTATATATACAATTCTGGGCGTTGGTTTCCTGGTGAATTCGAAAGATTTCCGAGAATGAATTGATATATGGAACCCACTCAAAAAGCCTGAACAGAAGGATGAATAGAAGATTTAATCAGTCTAAAAATCTAGAATGTTAGAAAAGCATGGTAGCTCCAAAAGTCATGGGAATTTATTTGTGTTGAATCCTCTAGACTAGGGAGAAATTAGGCCTTTCAGAGACACTTGGGAGTATAATAATTACCAAGAACTGAATTCTTTGGCCACAAAAGCAGTGTTGGAAAATGGGAACAATGTTTGAGGCCTGTCCGACTAGATGGTGTAACTTTACATTTTTGATTTCAGGTTGGAATTTTATACTACCTCTCGACCAGGTGCTAGTAAGAATAGCATATTTCAGGAGGCGAACCTCCACTAAATGCACAGTGCGACATTAAGAGGGAAGTTTGACGATAGCCCTCATCTTCGACATACTCCATGAAAATTTGGCAATAACGATCTGTGAATGATAAATAGTAGTGATCAAATTATCTGCATATAAACTCTGTGAGTAACCCTAGCTCAGTGGAAGTCTCACTGAGCATTAGATCTTGATTGGTGAAAAACGACAGGTGGAGCATGGCGTGGCAACTTATCTTCATAATGCTGTATTGGAGGATTTCAAAATGAAAATATCCTGCCTTTAATATAGTACCGCATTATGATTCTCGTGAAATTTGGTGCGGAAAACAGTCATGATAGTCAGCAAACTCGCATTTGAAAGTACCGGCTTTGCTCACTATATATTCTCCAAAAAAATGCCTGCAAATAATATTGTATGATAGAAGAATGAAATTATTGCTCGAGCAAAGAAGAAGGACTGAGAAAGTTGGCCATTTTTGTCTCTAACCAGATCTCGTATTCCTCAATTTTCTACAAGTGCTCAAGACACATTGTACTGAAAAGTTTATCACCATCATTTGTAATCTGTCACCACTTGAGGAACTTTGACAACAACGAAATTCAGTTGGTGACAACAGAGAACTCGAACATAATTCTGCGACTAAAAGACGAAGATTCGGATCTTGGGCTTAGGCTATGGAGATGAAAAAAAAGGAACTGCTGAAGCACAACCACTTGCTACAAAGCATTTCCTCAAATATTGACATCGGCAGTATAATACGCTTTGGTTGTTCTAAGTGAACTTGAGTACTTATATAGGCGAAGGTGTAGGCAAAGAGTCAGAGGGGTAATATATCTTCAGTGTCAAGATACCCAAATCAAGAGAAAAGTATTCAAAGAGAAAGAGTGAGTGGTTCAGGTTCGTCTTTTGAGACCGAGATCACGTTTCACTGTATGTGTAAGGTTTAATATGGCAGACTTATCATTCTTCAGAGATGGGCAGCTTTACTCCGAGCCCTCAAGATTGCTATCACAATATGGTCAAAAGAGGACACATTACAGATTAATTATTGGCACAATCATTGTCAAATATGTACTAGTAATGTGGATAGATGTAGTCGGTGACGAGAATAGTGCGCGACAGTAGTGATAAGATTATAATCAAGATATTATGGTAACTTGTTTGTTTCGAAGCACAACTATAACTTGGGATGAGAACTTTCGTCCTTCAGACGCTCTCATTCGAGGTGATTTCCAGTGCTTCTATGAGAATGAGCTGTCGTTCCTGGGGCGGATATGATGAATCTTAATAGTTCTATGAGCGGAATTGACTACGCTTTAAGTGCGAAAAGACTTATGAAGTAAAGACGTACCCATTGTATTGGGTATCACATTAAAGCCAATCCACAACAAGAATGATCCGGGCCCACTTTTTGACAAGCGAATTCTTTTTCTCAAGATTCTATCAAAGTTTGAAGTAGGATGCTGATGAAATTTCTGAAGTTGAAGGTGAGCTTACATAGAAGATAAAGACTTCGAGAATAGGCTCTCTGGGCCTGTCAACGAGATATAATGCACGGCAAGCCTTGCTTGATCTCATGGCACCAGTGAACGCGTGTTGACCCCTGAATATCAAGGAGGCCACAGGTACATTTCATCTGTACGTAAGCTACCTAAGTAGGCGATGAACTACATGAATAGCCCAAAGACACTTAAATATCTGATCCAAGGTCACGAAGCAGTAATATCCGCCAAGATTGAAATCAGTGACATCTAAACCCAAAACTATCGAAGCAAATTGTGATGACTGGACAACCTCAACAATACCGCTGGTTGGGGAAAAAATCATCTGCTCCACAAGAAGAGAAGTACAAAGAAAAGCGCTGTTTGTACATGACTCGAATCCCATCTTTCATTTTCCGAGTCCATTTTTCGAAGAATTTCTGTACTCCCCTTAAGCGAGACCCCTCATTTACCCCACTTCTTTCCAGTACAAACACTTGTAAATAACAAAGACCCCAGAATCCAGATGACTTCCATCAAAGTTCTTTCCACTTACTCTACCTACAGAGTTTCGGTGTAAAAAATAATAAAAAATATCCCGTGCAGGGTTTGAACCTGCGATCTTCTGTGCCCTCTGAAACCTCGTATGAGATTTCTGTGAGACAGATGGCATGACCACTAGCCCAACGAGATCTTATGATTGGTTGGTTGATTGATTTGATATGTCGGAGTTGCGATATAGACTTATAAAGAATATGGGCTAGCGGTGGGTTGCAGAAGTGGTTTTCGAGGGAAGTGAAAAGAATTTTCATCGCAGAAGGATCAATTGAAGGGGCTAGGACTTTGTACAGAAAGCATCTGAATTTATAGAGTTGCTTATGCATATTTGAGTTATCAAGACAAATAATACATCAATAGGCTGCAATAGTCAATTATTACACTTAATTTACATGTCTCTTGGTAACGCGCCGAGCCTGTCATGCTTTCATTAATACTGTTCTTGAAAATAAAGTTTTTCATTTCCAACAACAGCAACAGCAAGAAAAATCCTAGATCCCAATGTCATTATTTTATTGCATAGCTTGTTATCATTAAGTCTTCTAAGAAGTCTGGAGTTCTTTACACCAACTTGGCAGCACGAATTTAACGTACACAGCTGTGGTGCTCGAGAGACCCTAGGAAAATTTGTCAAAAGCTTGAGTAAAACTGAGTGGTAGCCAATCAGTGAAACCTCCATATTCTGTGCTATTTGTAAGAGCCGTATGCTTGGAGTAACAGTGAAGCGTCCAGTGCTCATCATAGAATGTCAGATGATTGCAACAGTGTCATCCTCATCATGGTTCATTCAAAATTAATTAGATTTGGAGGGCTTTGCACCTTTAACTAACTGGCATGTACTTTTATGAATGTTCAATTTGTGTAACAGGTTTTATTTTTATTGTCATGGTATTATATAACGGAACAATCGAACCATTCCAGTGACACCACCGTTACCCAGCTACAGTTTTCCCATATTACCAGCCACCCTGTTGCACCAATGCAATGTGATACCGAACACCGCAATAAATAGCTATCATGTCTCCGAATATCCTGTTCCAATCCCCATCAATATCATGCCAATCACATCTATATCACATCAAATGGATTTTGCGTGATTCTAACATACGAAGATCTGGTTCCCACCGAAAGGATTAACGTTTCTTTAAGAAAAGTTTTCTATAAACACGACGAAGTCTTAACTCATCCTCGCTGTCTACAGAGATATCCCACTTGCCATCAAGACCTAGAACCTCGTACGCCAAGGTCCAATTGTAAAAGTTTAGCTGATATGCGGCGAGAGTAAGGTCAAGTTGCTCGAAACTATCGTGGTCGTCGAGACGAGCGAGAACCTCCACTTTCGTGAGATTGTTGAAGCTGTTCAATACTGCCATTACCATGGCAACGCTAGCAAGTTTACCCTTGAACGTTGCGGCATTGTCATACTGTTTGGGAGCCTTGATGATAATCTTGACCTCTTTAATGATCTCCGCGTAATCCATAAGAATTTTCAAGAGAGCTCCAATATCGGGAACTGATTCTGGTTGGGAGAAATCAAGGTCGAGAATCATCTTAGCATTGTCGGCGGTCTTCTCAATAGTCAAGACGGAATGTTGACGAAGGGTTGAGAAGTCGAATTCTGCACTATTATTAGATTCATGGACAACATGTTGATTTTGTTGGGTAGGTTGTTCTCTTTGCGTGGATTGACTGCCATCACCATGATTGCTGCCGGTCTGCTCTCCTTGAATAGATTGGCTACCATCATCGTGGTTGGTGCGAGTCATATTTACTTTGGGGAGAATCGGTCGGTAATTAAAATGTTAAAGGTTTGGGTCAAAGTAATTCTCAAATTTGGAGTGTCTCGAGAATTTATGGAAGGATGTTTGAGTTTTTGTTCCTGGCTGATGGATATGGATGTTCTTATAGAAGTTTTCGCTACGGTAGGGTGTATTGTGATTTAGATTCTGGAGTGGATACATACATGTATACAGCCATCTATGCTAGGGGCCGTAGTATGCGATCAAATCAAAAGTTTAATATAGCAAAGCTGTCACAAATATACATTCACTACGGCCTTTTAAATATTTTAAATTGTTTGAGCATCATTCCTTGCTTCTAAGGCCTGGTGATTGAACGCTCCTTGGAGGCATGGAGTTTGAAACCTCGTGTTCTGAGTAAGCTCTTGAACGTCAACCAAATATTCATTCTTAATCTTTAGACCTTGAAGTATTGCGGTGTAGAGCAGAGACTTAAGTAAGGCAGACAATGGAGTTACTAAGGCTTGATAGTTGTAAATTCACGAATCAATTTAGTGGCAATGAGATGTTGAATTGTGTGTCTTTGAGTAAAAATCTAAACCCCATTTACATGAACCAACGTCACTTACTCCAAGATATCTCACTTTAAAGCTAAATCTAGTTTCTGACTCTATCGGCGCATCAAAAAATCAATGTTTTCACACTCCAAGTTATCATTTGTGGAAATTTGACACTTCAATGGTACAAGTTAAGCTATCAACTATGCGAATCAGTGTTAATATCTTTAAATGACTTGAGGGACACCCATATGTCAAAGTTGTACTAAAAATACGCTATGAATTGTGACACTTCAAGATTTCAGCAGCTATCACTTATTGGCAGAATCAATTGGCACATGTAGTCAGGTGAAAGGTGGTAGTCATTGCTATGATATAAGCTAAAAGTCTGAACCCTTTGGGACATAGCAAAACCTTCGCCTCCGAAACAAAGGATCAAATGAGTGTTAATCAGCCAGTAGAATGACATTCCTTTCCACATGATGACATCACCTCTTACTAGCTAGTTCCCCAACAAAACCTCCCCCATGCCGTTACCAATGCGAAAGTAGAACAAGGTTCACTATACTGCAAACGTTCTCCCCAACATCCATGCTGCCAAAAAGATCTCACCTTACTGAGTAACAAATTCAGTGCGGTATACACCGCGGAGTCGCTTTCCGTAAGAGCTGTATCGCTCAATTGGATAATGTTCAGAACTTGTCATGATTTGGTACTTCATGCTCCAATCCTGGAAGTTAAGGCCGTTGAAAGCCGCAGCCAGCTTCAATTGCTGGAAGTTGTTCTCGTTGTCAATGTCAACGAGGATGTCGAGTTCGGTGAGTGCAAAAGAGTTGAGTTGCTCAACGAATTTTTTCATGTTGTTGACACGTTGCTGATAGACTGCCCGCGATCCGTGCTGTATGGGCTGGATCAGCTTGATCTGAACCTTGGTGATGGATGAAGCGTACTCTGGTAGGACTTTCATTAATGCCATCATATCGGTTGGTGGATCAGCGATGAAATTGAGATCGATGAAAAGCTTCTTCTCATCACCGTTTTCTCTAAGAACGATTGCGTAGTGCTTTTGAATGCACTCATATTGGATGGTTGCAGCCACCTTTTTAGCGTTCTCCTCGGTGATCTTCTTGTCGGCTAACCTCTTTTCTTCAGCAGCCTTCTTCTCCAACTGCAGCTTGTTCCAGGCAGCTCTCTGCTCATGCCACTTCTTGTCTTCAGCTGACATCTTCGCAGCAAGTTCGTCCTTCTGGTTGTTCTGCTCCTGTGCGATCTTGATAGACATAGGTACAAGCTTGGCCTGTCCACGGTTGTTCTTGCAGCCCATCTTGAAATTTGATGGTGATGAACGAGAAAAGGATTTGGATATTGAGATTTTGAATAAACCTGTACATGGTGGTCAGCTTTGAAAAAGGATAGATGCTGTGAGAGACTCGTGTGTAGATGGATTCTTACTTTGTGAAAGAGTATCAAAGTTGTAGTGTGGTGGAGTCGAACTTATTTGTGGATGGAAGAATGCAATAATGAGTTGTTGATCTTTGTCTGAGATATTCTGAAGAAGGTGTTTATCTTAGATGTTGTGAGTAAGATACTTTTCAAAAAAAGATTGGGATTCTGGAGTCAGGAGAAATCCTTATGTAGATAATGTGGTACAGCGGCTTCTCTATCGAAAGACGCTAGTGTCTCTAGCGAGTGATTTATTCTTACAGACTAGGCGAGTCGTTCAATTCCACTGTAACCGAGCCGTATTTGAGCAAATCATTGGTATTAGGAAGGCTACACTATGACGTTGTTCATTTCCTACATGTATAATACAGTATGTAGATTCACCACAGCTCATGCAATTTGCTACAGCCACATTGGCAAGATAGCCATCTTATCAGACAATTCACATATTTATATAAGTAGAGCCAGCCTCCAAAGGAGCAATACATACATTTTGTAGCTATTGGTCTCTGTGATAGAACACTATCTCCTGTAGTCTGAGAGTTCTTTCTTTGACTAATCCCTCAATCACTATTCATCAACTCGGGCTCGCCTAATATTCACCTTCATCACAATAAATACACTGATATCCTAATAAAAAGACATTCACAGACAGAAGTATATGATAGTGGTTCTTCAATAAACTTATTTATCTATATTGGAGTTCAAAGCTAGTCGAATCCTTTCATAGATCAGATAGAGTACCTATTAGATAGTCTATTGATGCACCTTTAGAGTCATCAAAGTTATCTGCAAAATGCATGAAAGGAATTGCTCACTACAAAATTAGGTTCCCAAATGTAACATTAGTGATTGTAATTAGTGCATTACACGACGTCGTCCAACAAATCTAGAAAGAGCATGCTAAATATTCAAGGGACTACTCTGTGATCTTAAGTAAATATCTAAAAGATGGTAGTACTAGCTGTCAACTCTCAAACACATTCGAAAATCCAACCATTTTGAAGATCCGAGGAATTGTTAATGTTTGATTGAGAGTCTAATAAAAGATTTCATAACACCCTTTGATCTACAATGATACGATGCTCATTCCATCTCTCTGAAACGTTCAATCTACATACTTACTTGGACCAAGTCAAATCGTAATGTCTTTCGCATTCTTTCCGCAAACGTTTCAATGTAAGAGAGAATATACATTGCAAATTGTATATAAAATCTATATTAATTGGGATTCGTGTTGAAGTAATTATAATATCAAGTATGTAGAGATTGTGTGATAAGTTACTATTTTGTTAGCTTGTTTGTTAGTTATAAAATGTGACGAGTCACAGACTCGAAGTTTATCAATGGCACATTAATTCAGGTTTCGGAGTTTTCAATTAGATGATGCTATCTTCGTAAAAGCTAGAAAGGCTTTCACGATCTCCTCCAAAAACATGACAGCCCCTAGGAAAAGCCCTGTTCACATCTCTCCGCATCACCATAATAATTCATACCAATAGTCAGACCATCATTCCCGCTCCCTGATTACAGACTCTGCATCACTTCTCCTTGTAAACTAAGAATTTAGCTTTGTATAAACCAGCCAATCTACGGTCCCATGGACTACCAATATCAACATTGAATCTACCTCTGACATGGAGAATCTCCGTAACCATTGTCCAGTCCCTAAACTTCAAGCCGAATGCCGAAGCTGCGAGCTTCATTTGATTAAAGTTAAAGGCGTTGTTGAGTGAAACCACGAATTGGAACTCGTCGATCTTGAATTTGTTAAGGCAGTTGATAGTCTGCATCATGTTTCTGACTCGAAGGTTGTAAACCTCAGAGGATTCATGATATGTTGGAGCGACTAGTCTGAACTCAATCTTTGTGATAAGATCCGTATACTTGGAAAGAACGACATTGAGATTGGGCTCGTTGGCTGTCTTTTGGTGATGAATGATGTCAATGTTGATGTGCAACTTGACAGTTCCGGTGCCGGCATCTTTAACTACCTTGAGCGCAGCGTGCTTAGGTAAAGTGGTGTAGTCAAAGTTGAAGACACGTTGAAGAGCCAAAGCCTTCTCTTGTGCCAGCTTTTGGGCCTTGGCTTGCTGAGCTTGCTGCTTCTGTGCTTCCTTCTGCTGTTCAGTAGCAAGCTTCTCGGCTGCCTTCTGTTCGGCATAAACTTGAGCTGCACGCTTGACTGGTGTTTGAACGCGGGCGTTTTTGGAACCCATCGTGAAGATCGAGTGAGTTTTTACGGTGTTAAATAGTATGTGTAGTAAGAACTACGAAAGATTTTATATGGAAAGGATGTGTGAAGAAACTTGGGAGTCTGAAAGTTCCTGCTCTTCGTTGTGAATGTGAAGAGGTTTATCGAATGTTTGGATAATGTATTGTAAAAACATTCTGGATTCTAGAGAAAGAAAAATGCTTATATACTATTTTCATAAGTGCAGAAATCTCTCCTACTGTTCCAAAAGCAAGTTCATGTATCTGTGTCGTCAAATCAGCCGTACCCCGTGCAAGCATCGACGTATCAAACTGTACCACACAGCCAATAGTACGGCTAGCCAGTCACATTTTTTGATACTGTTGATGCATTGATGTACATATAAATCAGTGAAGTTGATTATCAATATATCGAATACTCTACCGTAATGTAATCCATATTCAAGTTAAGATACATTGCATGTCGATTTCTTACAATCGGGAATGAGCCTATCAAGAATGCCGTAAATTGCCATGCCATTTGAATAAAACTAATAGCTAATGGCTAAGAAAACAATAGTCCCGAAAGCCTGAATTACGGTGAAAATATAAATTATTCGAAATTCTAGAGTATTTGTGAATGTTTTTATAGAGCTAGTTCAATTATCTCGGGGAAATTTTCAGGCTATCGTATCCTATCACGTTGCTTTCTTGACCTGAAGAGTTGTATCAACTTTCACATTCTCATCTTATTATTCCTTTATGCGATGGAATAATATCTATAGTATTCTTGTATATAATATAGTTTTTCTAAATCTGAGTCTTTTTGATCAAAGTGTAGATAGTTCAGCGCAGAGTTCATTATTTTGTTAGTTTACCATATAATAAATATCACATACTCTCAGGTCAATGTCACATCGATTTCAGAAGTTAGGTTAATCATTTGAGTCTGCTTCATTGGTTGTATCGCTGCTTATACTAGAGGCATGTGAGTGATATATTCTACATAGAGCTCCCTGGTACTCTCTGCAGCATGTCTTCTCTGGAATCCAAATGAAGATTCATAATGACAAGCGTTTCCTTGCCCATAGAACCTTTTCTATGGATACTATAGACTATCCCAATTCTCTATAGCTTGTCACATACATTCTATGCCCGACTACAAACACTTTTGAGTCAGAAACTCACTCCTATACACATCTGCCAGTCTACGAGCAATTGAACTCGGGACTCCCACGTTGACTTCCTTTTGTTTGTCGCCAAAAAATTGCTGTTTCCATAGTCCAATTATCAAAATTCAAGCCGAAACATGCCGCAGCTAGCTTCATTTGCTGAAAATTATCGGGTTTATTGACGGACATGAGGAAGTGAAGATTATCTAGATCAAAAGTATTTAGGATATCGATAGTCTTGATCTTCCTGGACCATCTTTTATCCCCCTAACTTCCATGTGATTTTCAACACAAACCGAAAAACACATAAAGCCGATAGCGTTACATTACAAACTGAAATGAGCTGTTCAAGTGATATCATAGTGCTATAATTTGATTGTACATGTTGGTTGTTCATGACAAACTTTCTTTTTGCCATCTGATTACATCACAACGCCCCTTTGATTCTCGCCAAAGCTACCAATCAGATCTCAAGGCTGATTTCCATGCAAAAATGTATAATCGGACAGGAATACTCATGCTGACTAGTATATCACGAGAAAAGTAATGCGTTCATCCATCTCCTTCACATAAGAATTCTATGATGCTATAACCAAACCACACTAGAACACTGGGGTAAGTCATTTATTCTCATATTTCGGAGAGATACCAGAATCTTGAATAATCTGACGCAAGATTTGTAACAAGATTGATCTCCTTTAATTTAACTCACTTAATTACTGCAAATCTTTCTTACTTGGAGATGAGATACTCGCGTCCTAATTCTGGTTACCAACAACGCGTCTTGTCTCCATGATCTGGGAGATACGGCTTGTGGTGGTGATGGGACGATTACCAAACGTCAACGGGCAAACTAATTGAGACGTCACATTTTATACATTAGCCACTTCTCAGGTGACCAACAATTTTCTTCTTTGCCTGTAAGACATACAACGCTCATGAGGTAGTCGTGAGAAAAACTGCGGGAAAGCGGTAAGATTAGATACTTATGGTATTTACAAATCGAAATTAAACTAACTAAATATTTACATTTGAACAATTCTTTCAATTGATAGAAAGTTAAGACTCCAATTTCTCACTGACCTGTTCCTTTGGCGCCTCTATTCCAGGCACACGACAAGGATTGCTAGGATCGTAAGCCATACTCATTACGTTTGCTCGGAGCCGATTAAGGGCTTTTCCATCCTCCACAATGAGAGACTGACGCGAATCAGTCCTCGATTCCTCTTGATTTTTGGTGCGACCGGCCGCAGATGATCTGCGCCATACCCATACCAGAGAAGAAATGATAAGAACAGCGACCACAACTCCAATGGTAGCCCCGGCTATCACGCCAGTGCTTGCACCATTGCTTGCGTTGTTACTTGAAGTCGAAGCTGTAGCGGATGAATTGGTCGTCGTAGTGCCAGTAGTATTGGTGGTGCTGGAGGTGTTGGTGTTTGTGGCCAGTAGAGCTTGATTGAAAAGTGAGGCAACATTAGCATTTGTAAAGTCCTCAGAAGGGCGAGTAAGTTGTGCAAAGCCACTCGAACTGTTCATTAATTAGTCTTGAATATGATTTGAGGCGTTGAAGAATACTTACTTCCCACCAATAATATCAGTAATGTTACCCGGAACGATGTATCTGTTGGCGTCATGATAGAACGTTGATGTCCATGATAACGTGTACATATCGTAAATAGCCACTCCCGAACTCTCCCAATCACAATAAGATGAGTACTTCTTTTGAGCTCCACCAACTGTTAACATCTGCCTATTTCCGACGAGATGGCAAGTGTGTCCAAAACGTGGACTGCCTGGTACAGACTCATAGACTTGTATCCACGTGAATGAAGGCAATGAGAGCACGAAAACATCGTCATAAGACACAGAACCTCCATCTTGTCCACCATAGAGGTATATATTGTAACTCGAGTTGTCAGGAGCAGTAGCAACAACGGTACAAGAATCCATTCTTCTTGGGGGTATATTTCCCGATGCCTGTTGAGTAAACCAAGAACCGTTCCCTCCGTTATATGCACTGTTAATATCGAAGATATTAATTTGATCCATTGGAGCCTAGTGAGACTGGTTAGAAAGACTTTTGATACTATCAAGTGCTTGTTGTGACTTACCAAAGTACCTCCTAGTTCATCTGACAATTCACCAGCTTGACGATACATGCCACCAAACTGTATTAGTATGCCTTTGCCATTCTCTCCTACTCCAGGTATATATTGTAAAAGGCCCCCTGTTCTCGAATTTGTGTCGATGGCTGCAGTAGAGATATTCCTCGTCGTATTGTCCGTCATATTTAACATAACCATACCCTCCAGAGGCACCGAACTTCCCGAAGGAATCGAGGTCGTTTCTGTGCTCGACCCGTTATTGATCTCGCCATTAAAGTAAAACCCAAGACCTTGATCCGGAATATCAGCGCTCGCCCCGAAACTAGGTTTCTCGGGTATCGTAGTATCTACGTCAATCGAGGCCCATTGATTGTGAGCTACATCATAAGACAGCAAGGTCTGATTTGGTGACGTAGGGCCGGTGAAGCCATAAAAGCTCGTATTCATGCTTTGCTCGGTTCCACCATATAAATATATTTCATTGCCACTAGGGGTTCCAGAAAAAAGAGCACCGTTGAGCACTACAGATGAGAAGGCATTTGATGATTCTGAATCCGAGAGAAACACCTGCTCCGATACCAGTGGCAGACTTGCGGAAGCCTTTGTCCAATTCCAGGATTCGTTCATTCCAACACCTATCATATAATTATCTATCACTTTTATGAGCTGAGCCTCGAATTGAAGTCTGTTGACTTACTTGTACCCAAAGTGATATTCCCAGTTATGCCACCATGATTATTCGATTCAACGAAAGTTTCATGGCCCCCGTAGATGTACAAAATTTCATTTTTCAATACCGACGAATGATACCATCTTTGGCACATATTTTTGACGGGATCTAGCCCTGATGGAATGTCGTTTTGCGCACGACGCAACATCTCGAGAGCCTTCATCCCACCCCTCCTTTGCATCTTATCATTCTTATGTACCAGAGACTCCGTGACAGTGGGCCGTAAATATCGCAAAATTTCCGAATTTTCCTCTATCCTCATCGACTCTTTGATATCCTTGAAGCACGTATTTTTGAGTCACTAGCACGAAGGTATACAGATGCGCAATTTGCCGAAGTTATCAAAAATTGATCGGCGTGTAGAAAAGTGCAAGATTCATTAGTCAAGAAGAGAAGAAATTCACGTCAAGAAGCTGTGTGAAGAGGAGTTTCACAAAGAGACCATGTCCCGGGTATAGACTTCTATATTATGAGCAAAGATTCAGACACCAAATGGAGAGTGGCGGAGGTCTGACAGTCGCATCTCGCTAGACAAAGAGACCTGGACTTTCTTAAGATTGCCAGCCAAGAACTTTCGAAACCGGCACACGAGGATATAGCAAAAGAGGTAGGGAAAATACCAGGTACCACTTGCTTGTCCAATGAACTTACAGAAAACTCACAAGCATTCGTATCGAAGACAGGAACACATGCTGTTCCTGCATGGCAAAGGATTCGGCGGTTGCATTTGATGGTAGAAGGATTGCGGCTACCTCATCTTTCTTAGAATAGTGTCAGGGGGTTGTATTAACGAAAGCGGAAATGTATTATATTTATACATCGGCCCCCAAATGAGGATCGAGATAAACAAGTGTGGAATACGGGAGGCCAAGAAATTCAGAAGCGCAGCTAACAATCACGTGATAAATAGAATAAATGCACGGTCCAACTGGAACTCCACACAAACACACGACGACAACTTCATGCCATGGCAATTATGTAGTAGGATACAACTTCAGTTGTAATTAAAAATGTCACATTTTCATGCAGTTTTCAGCGATGCTTTGTATTGACAAATAATACCTAGTCTATCTGCTTTGATTTCTTCTTCCATTTGACTCGATCCCAAAATGTCAACCCTTTGGCGGACATACCATGGTTGCCAAGTTTCGGTAGATACATCTCAATCTCTTCTCTCGTCTGCTCATCTATGTTAGTTGCGAACCTCTCATCATAACCTATTGGCTGATAGCCAGGATCCAACGCTGTGAGATATTTCACTACTTCCACCTTTCCGTAATAGATGGCCCAATCTAAAACCCGTCTCTGTGCAGACTGTGTGTCAATGCTGGAGCGGCCATATTCTGCCAGTGCCATGATTGTATGTACGTTCCCTACTCTTGCAGCGTACATCAGAGCATTATTGCCATTGACGTCTCGTATGCCTTCACTAGCACCCTGTTCTAGCAAGCACTTTACTCCCCGATCATAGCCCTTTAGACAAGCGATCATTAAAGCTGTGTGTTTCGAATCGCCGGCTCGAATGTTGATATCAGCGCCAGCCTGAACCAGTAGTTCTATCACGTGTGTGTTGTGAGCGATTCCTTTATCGAAATAAACTGCTGCTATCAACGGTGTTTCTCCATATTTCCTATCTTTGACGTCCCAATTGCAAGAATCAACAACTGCATCATACTGCAGCAACAATTTCACCGAAAAGACACAATTCTGACGCGAGGCGATATAAAGTGGTGTCAACCCATGTGCATTCTGAACCTCCGTCGCTGCACCATGGCTTAACAAGAATTGAACAATTTGGGAATTCGAGGGCACTTGAGCAGCCCCATGCAATGGTGTGCATTTCAGATCACCTGAGACCAAATTGACGTCTGCACCATTCTCAACTAGTAACTTGACCACATCGAGCGATGCTTCATATTGACCGGCAGCCGCAAATAGAGGCGTACACCCCGCTTCATCACGTTGGTTCGGTTTGGCGCCGTAGGCTAACAAACACTTTATAGTAGACTTGGAGCCCCACTTAGCAGCAAGCACTAAAGCAGTATCGCCATTTTGAGCGAATCGATTCAAATTAAAATCCCCTGATTTGACGAGTGACTCGACCCTTTTCAAGGCTTGCATCCGTATCGCATCTATTAGTTCCTCATGTCCTAAAGGTGTTGTTCGTATGGATTTCATGATTGCTCCTTGAACTTGCGGGTACGCAGTGCCCTGGCTTGTAGCGGGAAATTTTGCTAGTCTAGAGTGATCTGTGATGCACGCAACTTCTACCTCCCTCGTACCAATACTCAGCACTGCTGAATCTATATTCCTGTTAGCGGCTTCGAAACATATGGAATAAAGTATTGGGGATATTGTGAAATTCTGCGAGGTGTGCTTACCTTGAGGTACCATCATCTTTTCCAGTCCTTGTCTGGCCCATGTTCCATCTGGCATCTAATGCATGAGTGAGCCATTAGTTTCTTGGGTA